GACATCTAGATCTCAACAAAAGCCTTTGTTTTTGACTTTGCTTTCTGGAATGACATTTCATAGACCTTCTACATATGTCACGATAATAACCAGTGTGATTCTCTTGGCAACGTATGCTTTGGCATGCCTCGCTTTCCCATGCCTGATCACCAACGAATGTGACGCCAGCACCGTCGGAAAATCTGGGCTTCAGCTCTCTTCTATGTTATTTATCCTGATACAGCTAATCAGCTCCTGCTTCATGATCCAGTATTATGTTCCGTGAGTAACTCAGTAGAAGGTTTGGCGCTGTTGGCAACTCTGTATTTACTCAACCGAGTAATCGAAAGCTACATGTTATATTCACTTTATTTCATTTTGAAACTGTCGCAACACTATAGCTTTGATTTCGACGGGTCCCGACGGAAGAATCCAACAAGGGAACAGCACATCGTTGGTACAGCTTTCTTGGGAGTACTGTCATACGCAATCATTATGATTTCCTTGTGGGTGACTTTGGATATTGGCGCGTCAGAAGTCCTTGATGCAGGAACTCGCCGTGTTTTGTTGTTTGTGGCCTCACTACCAGCGATGGTCGCTACTTCACTGCCTTTATACCTTCAGCTCCTCGACAATCGTGGGTTGAAGACCATGACAAGGTGGGGGGTTGGAGTAGCTATTGGTGTTGGAGTTTGGCTGATTGCATATGGTACTCAGATACTTCAACTAATGATCATCGTAAGTCCCATCGTATACAAGCCATTCGATCTGGATCAACTGCCAACATTCACATTTAGGGATTTCTGCTGAGACGGTGGTGGGAAAACCAACTTCTTGTATCGGTTGTCAGTGCACTCATAGTGCCAATATTGGTATAGACACTCTTGTGCTCGTCGACTTTTCTTCTTGCAAACTCACACTTGGATTGCTATTAGACAAGTACCTTTCGTGTTTTGACGCTGCACATTTCCATTATGGCAATAACGACTTTATATCGAGACGGGGCAACTGATCTTCGAACGATAACGCTTACTACTGTGATGTCGCTCGATCAAGCTTTTATGACCGCAGCAAAGGTACAGTGATCAACATTCGAGCGCTTGCAACACGACAATATTCGTCAAGCACTGACATATGATTTGTACAGATTCCTACAATGTACCTCCCATCTGGCAGATTATTTTCATTATCACTTGCTTCAGACACGTAAGTCAGAAGCGCGCAGTTTCGTATATGTACAGCCTGTTTACCTGAATCGTTTAGTGCTGCAAACGCGCTGCTCCTCTCCGGATGGACGTATCAATGTTGGCAAAAGGACCAAGCTGAAAAATGTAAAGAATTTGAGAACGAGCGCAGGCTTGATGAAGAAGAACAAGAAGTACAAGAACTTTCACATTCACACAAAGAAGATCCGTCTACACCTGTGATACAGTCGACTGTCATTGCGACAAGATCTCGCAATGACTCCACTCATTCTTCTCACCATTCAGCCGAACCACCTGAACCTGTTTGGCCAGTCGCAACTATAAATATTGTCGAACGACGACCCACCGCCAGTTCGGTGCACTGGAATGAACAACAAGAGCCTTCGCACACATCCCATGGGATCTCAACCAGACCATCCATGTTACTCAATACTGGGCATGGAAGATCCCCGTCGCAACATACATCGACAATTCCAATTCCAGCCTTGCCAGGATTGACTCCCAACACGATAAAGATCCCACTGCCTACGAGCAAAGAGGAAGGAACCTCTGTTTCCAGCTTCAATTCGGTACTGCGGCCAGCACCACCCACAGGATTCCAACACGAAACAGATATCAGTGGCTCAGTCACACGCTTTGTCCACCTCGTCAACATGATTGACACACAGCGCGTCGTCGCTGGTCTGGCTGCACCAAAACGACCATCGCAGTCACGGTCAGCGTCTATTCTGGCATCTATGATGTCTCCAACTCAAGAGATGGCACCTTATCTAAATACCAGTGTATTCATTGCATCGCTTTCCTCTTGCCTGATATCGGCTTTATGCTGTCACCTGTTTCCAATGCCTGCAAGAGTCAGCGATGATTTCGTCGAGCTGTGGACTGTTCGATTTCCATCATCGGTGATTGTGGCTATAATCCACATGAGCGTTTGGTTACTTATATGGCATAACTGGTTTCCGAATCTGGATCCAACAAACCATCAGCTCAATCCGGGGAATCAAGGACTAAGTAGCTTGACAACGGCAGCCACCATTTGTGGAGGTACGTTCTACGTTCCTTGTATTCAACATCTGCTTCAAGTCCTGACAAGCCTTTCTTCTCTAAACTCTAGCGGTCGTTTTAGCGGTTGGATGTGGACAGCTTGGCTTTATAGGGATTCCGTGATATCATGATTTTGCATTCATCTTTTTACATAGAACATTTTACGAACAGGAAGGTTTTGGTTATAGCGAAATTTATATTATAAGCGAAGGAAACGTCGTTTACAAAGTTTTGACAACCGTTTGCACTGCTCGCATATCAGCATCCAAAAAGTAGCAATAGCATTTCAGTCGTTCAGCATCAATCTTGGCTTTTTTCAGAGTCACTAAATGTGCATCGAGAGACTCGACAAGTTTGACCTTGATTACTTTGGACATGGGTTTGACGAGGGAGAGGTGATCAATCACTAGCATCTCGTTATCGATTTGGGTTTCTAGACTGGTCAGAGTGTTTAAGAACTCGCCAATTTTACTCTACAAAGTTGATGTGAGATTTGTTGGGAGTTGAGACATAAAGAAATTCAACCAGTTTACCTTTATGACTGCAGCACGTCCTTCACCCTCATCAATCACGCAATTTTCTAGCAGTCGTATTCTGTCCTCGTTGGTAAGTTGATTTATCACTCGAGACCATCCTAAAGATGTTCCTCTTGGTCGTACACCAGCAGTCTAGCAGAAAAAGAGGTCAGAGCTTCTGATGCAAAAAAAACTTGGAGAAATTCTAATTCTACCTTGAATGTAGCAGCAAAATTAACATCTTGAACCCAATCCCTAGCGTCACAAAATACAAATAATTGGTGAGCTGCAGCCGATTTGATATGTTGAAAGTCTAATATAAAAACCAACCTGGCCTCCACCCATGACGTAGACTGAAAAATGAATTGTGCTCCATTAGGACAAGACATCCTAAAACAATGCGATCTCCTAGAATAGCTCGGATCAAACAGCGCAATAGAGTTTTCCATAGACAGAATATATGTCGGTTTAGGGATGTTGCGTATATCGGCATCCAACGTGTCGAGTCCTCGTCGTGCTGTAAACCATTCGAAATCCTTGAATAAAAGCAGCTGTGTGCCAGACAAGACGGCATAGAATGAAGTCCATCCTCGCGACACTGCTCGTTCTCCTTGCTCCTTCTTATCCCATTTGCGACGGAGGATTCCGTCTCTGGCGCTCCTAGCAATAGCAATAGCCACTTGGTCTCCTTCTGTTGTTGTCGACGTGGGTACGACAGCTACTGATGCACGGCGTGATCTCACAAACGTTGATGGGGTGGGAGACGCAGATACAGCTCTGCCATGTATCTTGTTTCCGAATTTCTTGGCAAGAGCTGGAGATACGTCGCTGCTAGGTGGTGAGGCTTCGGATGCTCCCGTAGTAAATAGGTTATCATCAGAGACGGATGTTGAGAGCGTAGTGGGTTCGAATGTTCCTCGAAGGGGTTTGGGTGAGCTTGGTGGGGATGCGTCCTCCTGAAACAGTGCTTGGACTGGCTGAGCAGGGTATTCAAATGATATTAGATTGATGCACTCGTAGGACGTCCTTCTCTCTGTTCCTGTAGCGTCTGTACAATCATTGATGGAAGCCTTTGGTGAGGCCCATGTCCACTTGGAATCCGCATTCTTGTCCATCAGCGATGTGCCATCCATTTCAATATCGTCCGTCATATACTGCACTGGCTCTGCTCGAATGTTTTCGTAAATCATCTCTAGTACTTCGGCTGGTAGTGCATTATATGATCCAGCACTTCTTGTATTCGATACGAATTGCTGTCTGGTCATTTTGGTTCGTTGGCCGACTGAGTGGAGGTCACTGTTCAGCATTACGATAGCAAATGCGGTTATATGCACATCGTCAGCAGAATTAAACAGTCCTGGATTATCGGAGTGGTATTGTAGAGCAAATTGTTTGAGCACGCGGTCGATCTGCTGAGCTTCAGGTGGCAGTAGAAAAGAGAACAGAAACTTCCTGTGATTGTTTTTAAGTCGGGTTCGAAGGTCAGAAAAGCTGTCTAAATGAGCGCTGCTGGTGTCAAGTTTTACCTGAGGGCAGTGTCGACTGCATGATCTTTGAAACTGTATCGTTTGACCAAACATTCCAAGACTTTGGCGTGGAAATCATCACTTTTGAGAAAAGAAAGACTCTGAGACACTAATTGTTCAAAGCGAGTATCAAGTAATTAGAGGCTACCTTTTTGAAACCAGCTTGGCCAGCTCTCGTTTATTCACTGTAGCTTCCAGCTTCAGTAAATACTCTGCCGGTGTCTCCTTATGCACATCTGATCCCTGAAGTGTAAGTCGCTGCATTTCTAACATTTCTGCAGCTCCAAACGCAGACGCTGTATTCGATCTCATTCTGCGATGTCCGACGTTCGTTTTGCCTGGTATTTCGATTTTGGCTTTAGATATGAGCTCAGCTACCGTTTCGAGATTTGAAGCGTCTTCATCTGATATGGGTTCGTCTACTGTCTTGATTGAGCCTGTCGAAGACAAGATAGCAGGAGAGGGTTCAGTCGAGGTTGCTGTGGTTGAAGGAGCCACATTGGTGGTTAAGCTGATTGTAAGCAGTATAGTTTGCTCTCCTCCAGCCGTAGTGTTTGCAACCTCAGAAGGCGATGATGGAGTAGCAGTATCTATTGTTACACCGCCTAAACTTCCCCCGTTCTGATCGACAAAGTTGGCGGTGATTCTCGCTGACATGGTCCTTGAATGCTTGACATGTCGTATTGAAGACGCTGACGATTTTGGTTGTGGTGGTGTTGAAATTCCTTCTTGAGTCAACGAGGACTCTGAGCTTGCAACAGAGCTAGCGGCATTCCTTGAAATATTAAGAGTAATAACATGCTCGTCCCTGATAATGCTTGCAGGCCTTTGTATAGCTACAGAAATTCTCTGTGATGTTTCCACTTTATCCATTGAAGACTGTATGCTGGATGTTTGCGGTGTTCCAGTGGGTGGAACGACCCCAGATTTGGGTAGAATGTCTGGTATACCGCCATAAATGATATAATCACAGTCAGCATAGCTTGTTTTCACATCAGATACCTGTTTTGCGGCATTCGAATAAGGGGGTGGAGGTATTTCATCCACAACAAAGGAATCCGTCACCGGTAGTTTCGAGTTGGAAGAACAAAGCAAGCTGTCAATATCGGAATTGGCCTCTCCGTGCCTTGGTAGTGTTGTCATTTTCCACGATTTTCAGCACAAATGAAAACTTTCTTTCACATTACCCAATCTTTTGGTTGACTGCGCAGTTGTTACGCATTCTGTCAACACCTCTCCACTCATGCACAAAATTCAGTTATATATTGATTGTGGAGACAACTATTAAAAGATCATAACACGTACAAGAGAAAATCACCAAATTCACAGTTTTGCACCTTTTAATCGAATTGATGCGATTTCTCTACCCCATTTGTCTTCATCGAGCCAACTCGGAACAATTACCTTGACGATATCCGAGTGAATCTCAACTCGAATAGGGCCATACTCAATTTCCTGTAAAATGTCATATTGGATTAATTTCGTAATTTGAGAAGAACCGACTTGCGTGATTTACTTCGCCTGATATGTCCATGTAGCCTTTCTGCAATGCATTCTTGTCCTTCTTTGATCCGCTCTTGACCTTGTTCGGGTCAGGCATTCCTTTGCCCCAACCTTCGGGCTCCAAGACCCACGCTCGAGTCTTTTGGAATTGAATGCCGGGAAGCTTTAAATGCAGGCCAGCGGCCTGATCATTCAGTAAAGGCAGTACTTGGCTTCTCACGAGATTTTCAGCCCATATGATATCCATCTAGGACGTCCACGATGAGTTTTCATTATGATGAGTCCTAACTTCATGTGTATATACACGACGAGCATTCTGACCACAGAATCAAGTGATAGCAACTCACCGCACCATCTCCGAACCGAGCAAATTCACTTGTTAGCCAATCTAGTTACAAGGGTTAACGATTCTGAGACATCAAACCCCTGTTTTGGTCGTTCGTTACCTGGTGATGCAAATGGGAGATTCATGGCGACAAAGAACGTAAAGTGAGAGTCTGACGAAGTGATGAGGAACGATGAGTAATTATATGGTAGAAGTGAAACACGAAGATACTTACCGACGACCGGCCAACTTAAATGCGCTGTTGGTGACGCTGTATATCTCAACGGAGGTCCATTATATCCCAAAGTCTCGTTGCCTCGCGACGAGACCGTGTGATTTTGGAATCCAGCAGGTTTTGTTAGATTGCCAAGAGTTTTTGCTGCTTCGGTCTGATACTCCTTGGCTGCTACTTCGGCTTTCTCTTTAGAGGGTTCATATGGTAACATGTATAGTTTGCCTTTGTACTTTCTCAACCATCTAGAAGGCTTGAATTTCAGCTGAAAGATGGGATAAAGAGATCTGACAAAGTTAAAGCGATGAAGGGTCAAGCTCACAGTATTCTCACAACAGCTGCCATGGTGAATCGTTCTGGACCCAGCCATCTATACCGACTAGTATCAAAGTTGGTGAGTTGCAAAAAAAGGAATAGTTGGGAATGGAACACAGTTTACATACTCTGACTCGATATCCAAATCCGCTATAAGTGCGAATAGAACTTCAAGGTGGGAAAACATGACTTGTTTTGGCGTGATGACAGAAAATATATCCATATACTTTGTACACCCTTTAATGACTGCCAGAGTAGCCAGCTCTGGATATAGGGCATCAGTGTTCTTTGTGAATGCATTAGAAGAGCCTCCTCCCACCATGGCTAGGGGCAGTTTGGTCGCTACTTCCCAATCAGCGCGAGTCATGATTCCATTCAGCACTTCATGAAACGTTCCGTCTCCTCCAAAGACAGCTATACACGAATACAGATCTGGATTTAGGTCTGTGATTAGTTCTGTTGCGTGAAGTGCGTGTGTGGTAACTAGAAAATGAAAACGTGTAAGCGCTCTGTTGCCCGAAAGCCCAAGAGGGAACAAATACTTACGATGTACTTCCGTCTTGATACCAGCAGCTTGTAACATTGGCAGTGAAGCGGTTTCGTATGTTTGGACTGCCAACTTCTTTCCCGCAAATGGATTGATGACAACGTAGATAGGTTTTCTATCGGCTGATAGAATGCTTCTAACAGCGGTTTTTAACTCGAGGGCTTCCGATGATGAGGCAAGCTCTAGCAGCAGTGGTTGATATAATGGGGGTTTATCGGTTGTTCTGAGTGCGAGTGGCGGTCAGAGAACTGTCACGAACATCAACGACCACAACGATTCGTACCCGTCTACGAGCTTCAGCGAATGTACAATGACAGATGTGCCACCTTCGACATCTTTGACAGTTGCGGTTGTTAATTTAGAAGGAAATGGAGATGAATTTGTTGATTGCGTTGCTCCAAAGACAAAGTCGAGCGAGATGGAGACGGTTCCTATGAAAATAAACTTGATTTGTTCAGATCCGCATTGTTCCTTGCAACAAACATATAGTCAGGCCCCATGCGCCAACCTCACCTTCAGTGCTTGTATATGTCAATGTTGATGCAGATAGCTTCAGATCGACTTCTATGCTTTTTAGGAGGGCATCCTTCTTGATTGCGTGCCGCTCAAACAGCCAATCTGCTGCCATTGGAAGGAATCCGGGTCTGTATGCTCTGCCAACAAGACTCACGAAAAAAAGAAATGTCGGATCCACTACAAAGCTCGCTGAATTCACCCAGTTCCTTTATCAGAAGGACCACAATGCCGCTTTCGAATACTATAAATCCCATATCCAAGACAATCCAGACATTCTCCATGCACTATCAACCCGCGACAGACGCACATTTGCCACGGTCTTGCTAGACGACATTGAAGCTACTCGTAATAGGAAGCAACTCACTGCAGAGTTTCTGTCGCATTGTAAACAAGATGAATGGGAACGAGAGGACTGGATGCTCTACATACAGTCACAAAACATGATCCTCGACTTCAAAACTGCTATGGATCTAATTGCTACCATGAAGGCCAGAGGCGTTGCTATCGACACCCCTATATTCATACTCTTACTAACGGCTGTCGGGCTACGGAATGCTGGTTTACCAGATATGATGCATCTGTATACAAAATGCAACGAAATCACCGGCCAGAAACGAGCTCATACCGATATTGTAAATACTGTCGCTGCCGGATTCACTCGTGGCGATGGTCGTAATGTCTCGCTAGTCACGCATCTCTTGGTCCATGTCAAGGCAAATGCTGAAACCGCAAGATTGCTCCTGAGAGGGTATTCGAGACAAGGCAACACTCCAGCTGTAGATAGGGTACTCCAGTATATGGCCGACCGGAAATGGACTGTAGATATAAATGTATATAGGACGATTGTCCAGGGCTTTGTCATATCTGGTCTAATCGAGGAACTGTATAGCCGTCTCCCACCATTTTTAGAACAGGATCCAGAGATAGCTTCATGGCTAATCGCCGGACTCAATAATGTCGACCGTGATGCTGCCGACAGGCTCGAGGAGCATCTCCGCTACATGAACATTCCTGTGATGAACGTGGCTGTCGCCTCGTTAATCAAGGCATATTCAATCGAAAGGCAGTTAAACAGGGCCGACCATCAGTTTAAAGCCTCAGAACCCAATCTGGAGGTATATACGAGTAAAATGAGAGACCATTTTAAAATGGGCGAGATTCACAATGCTCTTGCACTATTTGAGAAAGCCAAGCAGCAATTCAAACCAGACACTCAACTATACGCCATAACTATAAAGGGCATGCTGCATCATAGAAAGTATGACCGGGCTCAACAACTATGGATGGAAATGGTGGATCAAGGACTAGAACCGGATCTCACACTATATACATATCTACTCTATGTATGCACCCGAAAGAAGAAATATGAAATGGGCCGACTACTCATAAAACGGATACACGAGAGATATATCGTATTCCCTACAATCAACATTGGAAAGGACGGCTCCGAGAAAATCTTCCCAAAGTCTAAAAGTCATAAACGATCTATAGATAGTCGTGCTTTGGCGACAATGGTCCAATTCTGTGCTCAATGTAAAGACATGGTCGGTGCTCTCTGGTATCTGAACGAGCTCGATCGAAGGGCTGCGTCAATCCAACATTATAGAACCCTCGACTTCTCGTCCTTGCATCTGGCATACTCGTCGATAATATCACACTATATACAAGCCGAGGAGCCAGCCAAAGCATATGATAGTCTGAATCGACTGATGCACTTCTTCCCGAATATGAAACCCAACAGTGATATTGTAAGGCCAATCCTAGTATGTCACGCTCGTCTCAATGATTCCCAGTCATGTTGCAACCTTTTAGAGACGCTTTATAAAAAGTTTCAGTACATTCCATCTAGGAAGGATTTAGCAGATGTATTCTCGGCTTATTACGCAGCCCATAAAAATAGTCCTTCAGATGCCCAACAAGCCTTTATTGATGATATTACCACGTGTATACCCGTCATACGAAAGGAGAATTTATATGCGGCCATCATCAAGTATGCAGCTTTAATGAACTTGACCGAGCTGGCTCAATCCGCTTGGTATGATATGACCGCCAAAGATGGTCTAGAATCCGATACGAAGACAACGGCCTTGATGTCTACTGTCTTTAGAAGTATTGGAGAACCCGCCTTGGCTGCTGCTCTACAGACCGAACTAAACCAAAAGCATGGATACCAAGACCTACATCATCCCGAATACCAGGCTTATAGGGAGGCTGCAGCCTTAGCACGCACTAATGATGTTGATACCGCTATATTGCGGATGATGATCACATTCAAGAAGAAGCCGCCACGTGAACGTGCTCCAGATGCACAATCACTGTATCATATATAACGTAACGCAATGTATATAATGTAGATGCGGTAATTTATAGAACCTCTTGCTCGTCGAAAAACTCTTTGCTGTCTATAAAGTTGGCTTGCTTCGTATCCCCCCTAGTTGTTACTACTACTTGAATCAACTGAACTGCACAAACTGAAACGCAAATTGCTTACATTATTGAGGGATCTGTTCATTTATTTTCTACATGCATATAGGAGGGCGATTTTACGACTATTCCATAATCCAAACTACATTCCATATCTTATACGACGGCGACCACCACCTGATGTCGATACGACTTCCATATCTTGGGGTTCAACCAACATCATTCCTACTTACCGAACGAAAGGCCTTCATGAAGCTCGCCGTGATTCTATCCTGTGACTTGCACGATAACATGTCTCTCTCTGCTCTCCCAAAATCGTCTTTTTCTTGAAAGGCGATTTCTCAAGTTTTTGCAAGTCTGAGGTTAAAATGTTGCAGGCGAACCCAATTTTACTATGCAAAGTGGCGTAGAGTCAACTCTCAAGGACAAAGGGTAATGTCCTTCTGATATCTTTTATCTATAATGCGATCTCTCGTCGTTCGAACGCTATTGCGGCAATTTTCATACAGCTCAGGCGGAAATGCAGCCATATAGCTGAGTGTTGGGGTTTTGGAAAACCTCCAATTTGAACTATATGTGGCAGTTTGATGCTCTGTAAGAATATTGTTACTGAATTCATCTCATCATTTGCCCTGGAGCTCGCCCAAATCTGCGTTTGTAAACGCTTGCTTCAAACCGAGACTTCAGAATGCCTTTGGTCCAGAGGAGACAAAGACAAGAAAAACATCTTTCTCAACAGTGCAATACAAATCGCTGATAGAGTCGCCTTTTACACCTGTGAACACGCGCAAGAATGTTGTCAAATAAAATCTTTACATTGTTTCAACAACATTTCATATCATACAAATTTCTACTTCAAAACATCAAGAGGAGTAACCGAGAAGAGTGGATTGAGAGAGAGAAGAGAGCCTTCAGCACTCCTTGTTCTGACCCCTCAAGGTTGCAGCAGTGTTGTTGAAACTTGCCATATCGAAGTCTCCACGATTGTACTATATTAAAGAGTTTGGTGATTGGTTCGATCATTGGAAATGAAGATGCAAAAGATACAAAGCAATTACACAATATCGGCTGTTTGTACTTACGTCAGTAGCTTTGGGAGCATCACCATACTTTGCATCGTAGTTTCGTTGAGCTTCTTTGGCAGCTTGCCTAACAAAGGAGAAGGTTGATTCGTTTCATGACTTCATCGATTGCGGATGATGGATGGCATCGTAAGGATGGACGGATGAAAACATGTTGAAGCGTACTCTTTGGCTCGATCACGGTCAATCCAATCCATTCCTTTGGTTTCACAGAGACGGTCAACTTCACCAGCAGCAATGCCTGCAAGGATTTCCTTGACCCACTAAAAGAAAATGAAAGTGTAATGAAGAGATGGTTAGAGATGGGCTGAAAACAGTTTTTCATGTCCAGATCGACAGGTCATCATGCACAAGCATCCATCGGATCAGCTGATCATCATAAAAGAATTCGATGATGAAAGAGATCAAATGACCAATGACCTGATTCATATGTCAATCAGCATCATTGCCACCCAATCGATCGGTCATCGACCAAAGCAAACAGCCCCACAAGTGTCATCGGGAACTGATCAGGATTGATTCCAAATGATCAAATATGATCAACATGATCATTTCCGATGACCTATCCATCACATAACAATGAAAGACAAAGCACTTACAGGATGAGAGATTGGATGTCCCATAGCCTTTTGATGCTTTTCATAGGCTTGCATGGCGAAGTATCCCACACCACCTGCCAAAGCTTCGTGTGTGAAGGAACCCTTGTTTTCTGAAGTCACTGGTGCATCACTGTAGAGGTCTACAATGAAAATGTGTCTGATGTGGTTAGGTTATAGGGATGACATAAAATCACAGTATGGAATCATAATAGAATCAGTCAAGACCATAGCAGGACTTACCAGAGTGAAAGGGGTTCAACCATTCGAGCATCTTTGGAGTTTGGAGAGGGTTGGCCTAGGTAGAGTCGAAAATAATAAATTGAAAATGATTTCATGGTTTGAAATCAATTGAAAGGGATGAATGCAAGCATAAAATGATAGCAAAACAAGCAATGAATCAAAATCGTTCGTTTGTTTACCTTTATATTTGTAAGTTTGTAATGTTCTGCGTTTTTTGAAAAGATGGAGGTGTGAAGCGAGGTAAGACCTTTTTGTAGGGGGCCAGAGAGTCACATTCAACACGAGATAAGTCAAACAGTATTTGAGATACACGCGTCAAACTCGGACGTGACAGGAGCCGTGTTCACCAAATGCCATCTCCAACGAAAATATTTGCACCTCAATTGACAAACGTGCAGAGTGATCCAGATCCATGAATATTCAAGTGATATGATCCGATAAATGCCGACGCGGTTCCGTATCTCGTGTTTTTCTTGGCTTCAACATGCCGTTTGCAATGTCAATGCTTTTGCGCCCAAAAGCGATCTGTATCTTAGTGAGAAGAGCCCCTTCTGATGCAGAGACAATAGCTGGCAAATATGGCACTTTCTGTTGTGTTGAAGTCTGTGGTGGTGGTGCTTTCACGTTGTTCGTCCTATTGATCTCTCCACCGTCCAAAGGGATCTTTCTTCTGTCCAAGGAACTGTCGACAAAATTATGTTGATGCATGTATAAACTGTCTTGTCAGTCCTTCTGAAACCGTTGATTTCGACGAATGCATCAAACCA